TTGCATTTTTTTTTGCTTCTCAAGTCTTTTCAAGTCACAGGCCTCAAGTCCGAGTCAAGTCTCAAATTAATGACCTTCAAGTCCAAGTTGAGTCCCAAGTCTCAAGTCCTAAAAATAGTGACTCAAGTCTGACTCCAGTCGCATTCGAACTGCACAAATCTCTCTGTCTATGTTAATATAAACATCATTAAATCGATTTTTAATTTTAATTCTAGAATCAGTCGGAGTGAACAAGTTCCTTCAGTTTTATTCACGACCGTAACATTCAGTTTTGTTCAGTGTGTCTCTAACGCGTCCTTGTTGTTTTCCTTTAAGTTTTCGTCTTTCTTCCCTTGATATTTGTGGATAAATTCTTCATGTTTATCGTTTGTGGAGCTTGTTGGTTGAAGATTTGGTGATGGGGCAGATTTATAAAGCCCCTCACACATTTACACAAACGTTTTGCCACAGAAAACCATTAAACTGAACTTCCACAAACCTACAGCGCTGCACTTCTGGACGCTGTGAAAAAGCTCTGTAACGTTGGGTTAAAGGTTGTATAGAGGATTTTCCAAGGAACGAGAAATCCAGCGACTGTTTGTCCTTTTTCAAATGTTGCGCATGTGTGAAACCACCCCCCTCCCCTACAGCTCCTACGTAGAAACGCCTCCTCCCGCCTCCTCTTTACGCCAGAAACAGGTTTGTTTACAGCCGGTGAACTGCACATGACTTGTAAACAACTAACTACAGTGTTGGTTAGGCAAGACGGAGAAGTGAGGAGCGGGGAGAAGAGCGGAGCAGGGAGCAGGGAGAAGAGAGGGGAGCGGGTGCACGGAGATTCCGTGCCCGGAGAAGTGAGGAGCAGGGGGAAGAGCGGATCGGGCAGCGGGGACAGGAGCAGGAAAGGGGTGCAGAGAAGAGTGCGCGGAGATTCCGTGCGAATGAACTAGCTACAACACGCAGCAGCAAGTGGACTCTTTCTTTGCCTTGAAAATTACATTTTCAGACATAGGATATCGCTTTCGTGTCCTGAAAAACGTTTGACTAGTTCTTGGAAATAAAGTAGGTTTTCATAATAAGCAGAAGTTTCCTGTCCAGGAGTAATTTGTGGACCAGTGCGTCAGTCTTTAGACCCTGCGTCTGCTTCAGTCGCGCCATCGCTGGAATGAATCTTCAAGAATCACCTTAGTTTGGCTTCGCTGCTTTTCCCCTTGTCTTCTTCTTTCAGTGAACTCAAAAACGGACTTTCTTTTGCGGGCGAACTGCTCCTGGATTCTTGTCGCCATCGCAACAAACTTTGTGCGAACTGCGAGGAAGATATAGGTCAAAAAAAGCCGCTAAGAACTGTTGCGTTGGTGGAGTAAACAGCGTCTGTGCGTCTTGCGTCTGTGGACTGCGTGACAGTCGTACGTAAACCACGTACCGGCGGCGCAGACAAGTCAGTTAAACTAGAAACGTAGGGAGTTTTGATTGACAGCCTGTCAGCTCACAGATAACGAGGCAGTGTCGTTATCTATTGGCAAATGTTTTAGCCCCACCACGTCCAGAGTTTGATGAATTTTTATTCTCTTTTTTTTGGTCATCATAATTACAAGGCGACTGCATCTATAATCTATCATTGACAACAATTGACAACTTGAAACAAAAAAAAATCCTCCATACAACCTTTAAGTTGTGAGGATAGAGAAGACTTACGGACACAGAAACGACGTGTCTGGAAGCAGATAGTTTCCGATACGGTGATTCGTTTCAGTGTAAACGTAGTCTGTGTTAATATCCACATCGTGAAATCGATTTTTAATTTTAATTCTAGAATCAGTTCCTTCTGTTTTATTCACGATCATAACATTAGTTTCGTTGAGTGTCTCTCTAATGCGTCGTCGTTGTTTTCCTTTAAATTTTCGTCTTTCTTCTCTCAATATTTGTGGATAAATTCTTCATGTTTATCGTTTGTGGAGCTTGTTGGTTGAAGATTTGGTGATGGGGCAGATTTATGAAGCTCCTCACACATTTACACACACACGTTTTGCCACAGAAAACCATTAAACTGAACTTCCACAAACCTACAGCGCTGCACTTTTTGCTGTTGTGAAAAATCTCTAACACCACGATTTCCAACACCTACAGTATGTACAGTTCCCGACGGTGCTGACGCCTTCAGCTCCCTCACGTCACGTCTTATGTCTTTATGTTTACATAAAGAGAGATATTATTTATTCAGTGACAAAACAGAGTCGGTCTCCTTCAGCGCTGACCACGACTCGTCCATATTCATAAATGCTAATCCGGCTCTACGGGGATCCACCGGGTAAAAGAGAACAGAGTTTGCCCTCCGCTGTTCTTCCCCGTCGAAGCGGCTTAGAGAATATTGGATTGTGGTGACAGTAAGAGCAGGTGAGGAGGGAATTGGATTTGAATGTAAAAGAGGAAGACTGTATCTGGTCTCTTGGGATCGGGAAGAGAGCGGCCATTTTGTGAAACACGGATTTAAACAGATCGACATTTAAGTGCACGGTGGAACTTTTCTTGTTCCTCAAAACCAGTGTCGGGGAGTAACAGATTACATGTACCGGAGTAATCAGAGTACAAATTATGAGTAACTGTATTCAGTTACAGTTACTGTTTCAGTGAGTGGTAATTGGATTACAGTTACTTTGTTGAAATAAATGGATTACACAGAGGGATTTTCCTGTTTTCACATTTTGGGCTATTTTTCGGTAATTCCACTCATTGCTGGACAATAAACCAGGTCTAAACCAGGTCTAAACCAGGTCTAAACCAGGACTAAAACCAGGTTAAACCAGGACTAAACCAGGTCTAAACCAGGTCTAAACCAGGTAAACCAGGTCTAAACCAGAATAAACCAGGACTAAAAACCAGGTCTAAACAGGACTAAACCAGGACTAAACCAGGACTAAAACCAGGTCTAAACCAGGTAAACCAGGTCTAAACCAGAAAACCAGGTCTAAACCATGAATAAACCAGGACTAAAACCAGGTCTAAACTAGGACTAAAACCAGGTCTAAACCAGGACTAAACCAGGTCTAAACCAGAAAACTAAACCAGGACTAAAACCAGGTCTAAACAGGACTAAAACCAGGACTAAAAAACCAGGACTAAACCAGGACTAAACCAGGACTAAAACCAGGACTAAACCAGGGACTAAGCCAGGACTAAACCAGGACTAAAACCAGGTCTAAATCAGGACTAAATCAGGACTAAAACCAGGACTAAAACCAGGACTAAAACTAAAACCAGGACTAAAACCAGGACTAAAAACCAGGACTAAACCAGGACTAAAAGGACTAAAACCAGGACTAAACCAGGACTAAAACCAGGACTAAAAACCAGGACTAAAACCAGGACTAAAACAAGATCTAAACCAGGACTAAGCCAGGACTAAACCAGGAAAAACCAGGACTAAAACCAGGTCTAAATCAGGACTAAACCAGGACTAAAACCAGGACTAAAACAGAATTTAACAGGACTAAATCCTGCTGTGTGGACTGTGTCTCCTTCTTCTTCTATCAATAATATTTTTAAATTGTTTAAGTAAAGTCTGGGCTTTTTATTTTCTTTTAGCAAACAAAACTTCTTATGTGAAGATTTCCTCGTCTTTGCTTCTCTACGGCAAATCAAGTAATCCAAAGTATTCAGATTACGTTACTCACCTTAAGTAACTTTATGGATTACGTTACAAACTACATTTTGGGGTATGTAATCTGTAATCTGTAGGGGATTACATTTGAAAAGTAAACTTCCCAACACTGCTCAAAACTCCCACGAAGACACGTCTCCACAGATCTGACCTGTGACCTCGCCTGGGTAAAACTGTAGAAAGTTCCAGAAAAAAACCCCACTAACTTCTATATGGATTTAAGCAGGAGGCGGACCCTTTGTACCAGAAAAGTTACACATTGCATCTTTAAGTGTTATGGTCTGTTCAGACGCCCTAAACGCTTTTATTTGGACGACTTTGCATTGGAGTTTAGACGCCCCAGATGCGCATCTTGGACGCTGTGGACGAACGGGAGAAAAATACTTGACGCGCCTCCGTTGCCCTGGAAACAAGAGCCCGGTCCTGGTCTTTTCCCAGAACAATGCCAGACCAGACTGAGAGACTTTAGTGTTTTTATGACATAAAATCATCAGCGGAGGAAATCGACTCGACGACTGCGGCGTGTTTATATGAATACTCCACTAATGACACTGGTCCAGTCCTGGTCCAGTCCTGGTTTAGTCCTAGTGTAGTCCTAGTGTAGTCCTGGTTTAGTCCTGGTGTAGTCCTGGTGTAGTCCTGGTCCAGTCCTGGTGTAGTCCTGGTTTAGTCCTGGTGTAGTTCTGGTCTAGTCCTGGTCCGGTCGTGGTCTAGTTCTGGTCTAGTCCTGGTCTACTCCTGGATCAGTCCTGGTGTAGTTCTGGTGTAGTTCTGGTCCAGTCCTGGTCCAGTCCTGGTTTAGTCCTGGTCTGGTTCTGGTGTAGTCAGGGCGAGTGGCGGTTCTGGCGTATGTATTTATGCTCCACTAATGTTTGTGGCTTTGGTTCTTGGGTCTTTCTCTTTTCCTGATAATAAAGTCCCTGATTGGTCGACGCGACACGTCTGACGTGAAAAGTTCAGCATTTTCAACTTCTGACGCTGACGCCCTGGACGCACGTCAAGAGCCTCGGTACCAGAAAGCTCAAATTCACAGCGCAAACACGCAGGACGTCCCAGACGCGCGTCCACAGACTTTACACATAAACTGGACACTTTGACGCTCTGGGACGTAAACAAAAGGACAGTATCATGAATTAAACATAACACTGTGAATGTTGTTTCTGGACATGTTATTACTTTGTCTGGAATGTTTCACAGTGTGGCATTAAACCTTTCTATCTTCATGGAGACCAGACCAGAGCAGGTTACAGGTCAGATCTGTGGAGAGGCAGCGTTAAACATAACTGGCGTATAGAATGCTGTAATGATCCTTCCTGATGAGCTCGTTTTGCTTCTTTTAAATGTTTTTTTTTTCTCGTCGCAGGCATCTCCGTGAGCATCTCCACCTTCAGCCTGGTTGCCATAGCGATCGAGAGGTACAGCGCCATCTGTAACCCGCTGAAGTCTCGCTCGTGGCAGACGCGCTCTCACGCCTACAGGGTCATCGCTCTGACCTGGGCTCTGTCCCTGCTGCTCATGGTGCCGTACCCGGTGTTCAGCGCCATCAAGAGCTTCAACAAACCCGGAGGGGTCAAAGGTCACATGTGCAGACTCATCTGGCCCAGCGGCACCGCCGAGCAGGCCTGGTCAGTGACACACACGTCTGTTCACACACACTCTGCGCCCTGTTCACACACACTCTGTACTTCTGAGTTACACACACACTCTGTGCCCTGTACATTTAGGTGCAGAAGGTACGGCTTAGTTTAGACCAAGTTTAGGCCTGGTTTAGTCCTAGATTTAGACCTGATTTAGACCCAGTTTAGTCCAAGGTCTGACTTGGTTTAGTCCTTGTTTAGTCCTGGTTCAGACTTGGTTTAGTTCTGATTTAGAACTGGTTTAGTCCCTGTTTTAATCTGTTTTAGTCCTGGTTCAGATATGGTTTAGTCCTAATTTAGACCTTGTTTAGTCCTAGTTTAGACCTGGCTCAGTCCTGGTTTAGTCCTTGTTTAGACCTGGTCTGGACCTGGCTCAGTCCTGGGTTAGTCCTGGTTTCGTCTTGGTTCAGATCTGGTTTAGTGATAGTTTAGATCTGATTTCGACTCTGTTTTAACCTGGTTTAGTCCAGGTTTAGTCCCAATTTACTCCTTTTAACCAGGACTTTAGTTTTCCACAGAAATTGTTGCTATTTTTACACAATCAAAATAAAAAAAAAATAAGGCTGTGTAAAATTAAGACGATATAAAACGAACATGCATGAACTAAAAAGTGAAATAATTAAAAAGTATTTATAATTTTGACATATATTGTTCAGATTCTGCTCGTGTTGGTTCTTGTCTCTGGACTTTCTCAGACTCGTTTTTTCTCACTCTGTATTTTCTTCTCGTAAATTGGACCGGAGTTATTTATCTGTAATGAGTCTGAAGAGTTTTGTGGGAGTTAAAGAGCAAGAAACCAGGAAAGGTCCCTAATCCAGCGAGTGGCATACTATAACCGCATCGGGAGACTGTCCTATCAAATATTCACAGTGGCATCCCGTTACACATGCGAGCCCGGCAAGTATTACACAACGAGCGCGGCGACATTAACTTTCACTCACAACACACCCGGCACTAAAAAAAAAAAAAAATAAGCCACCACTTATCTGAAACCCGACACCGAGCAGAAAAAAACCCTGTAACTGTGCGGTAGATGAGATTAAGTCGCGACTAAATCCAAGGACTTAAATCCAAGGATTAAAAACTGCCAGGATCAGAAGAACGCGAGGGGGCAGTAATACACATGGGAGTAAACGTCAGGCTGGTAGTTATTTGTCCACGATTAACCAAAGTTATACATCAAAACTGATACTTCAGGGATACAAACAAACAATACGAACAATGGGAAAAACAACTATATTCATTTCGTCTCACTACAAAACCACACAAAGTGTGGGAACGCATATTATACACAGACATTACACAAGAACTACTGCTGCTGCAAAGCGACAAGAATTAGGAGACACAAAAAAGACCCATGGGTGTGGATTAGACCCGGATACTCAGGTAAGTAACCGGAGATTAAAACCAGTGCCTATTAAGGACTTGTGTTGGAGAACCGCGTGAAATATTACGCAGGTACTCTAAACCGTCGCACTAAAAGCCTCACCTAACTGCGCGCACCCTTAAACCGGGGCTAAAACGTTCAAATGACGGCTGGATCTTAATAAGCACAGGATCGCTAAATCCGGTGGTGCCTATAACATAGAGCTATGTAGTACCTGGCTTCTTAAAATACCACTAGGTCTACTTAGAACATAGGCCAGGACTTTTAAACGGAACTAAACTCAGGAGGTTTAGTCCTGGTTAATACAGGACCTAAACCAAGGACTAAACCGATTATAACCAAGTGAGGACCTAGGATTACCAGAGAATAAACCAGCTCAGTCAATAGGCAACTAGGATCTAAACCAGGATTAAACATGAGACCTAAACCAGGGACTAACCAGAGCTAAACCGAGATTTTTAAAACGCTAAGACCCGAAACAGTATCTTAAACCAGACGTAAACCTAGACTTAAAACCAGACTAAATAGGACGCACTAAACCAGGGACTTATAGATCCAGGGTGACCTAAACCAGGAATCTAGTACAAACTGGTTCTCAGGAACTAAACTAGAGCCGTAAACCAGACACGGTAATACCTGGATCTAAAAAGTCCGGACTGGTTTATCTGTAACCAGAAACCTAATACCGGGGACATAGTGAGTTCCAAAATGACCTGGATGTATACTTCTGAGGGATTTCTATTAAGCCACTGAGGTTCAGTCCTGGTTTAGACTTTATGGAGCGTGTGTTATCGCTGTTTTGGGTGTACATTTTGTTCAACTGTTACCCTGCGCGTGTTTACAAAAGTTTAGTCTTAGAGTAGATTTTCTGAAGATGTGTTTTGTTATTTCTACACAAGACCCAGATCCTCGTGGACGCCAGGACTTTTCTGTAAACATCGGTACCGGGTTAAACTGTTCTTTAACTGTCAAAATGTCAACAGCAACCCGACGCCAGAGGTCCTCGATATGAGAGACACGCAAACGGGAACGAGAAAAAGAAACTAAAAAACTAACCATTGATAAATTTAACCACACAACTGAATCTAGAGATGATTTATGTTCATGTCTATAATTAGGTATGCCTTATCGAATCCTGTTGTTAGAGTTGGTTTAATGTAAATCATTTTTATGTTGTTGTTTTGAACCTGCCCCAAAGGTTTTCTGCAGATTATGGACAAAGTAAAACCTTGGAGCTAAATCTGGCACAGAGGCACTTTCTCCACTTGCGAATATGTTTTCCTAGTGCACATGTCCTTGTTTATTAAGAATTTACAAAATGTTGGAGGATTTGTCTGTTTCAATTCAACACAATGTCTGAGTAGACGTCGTATACTTTAGCTCTTTCAGTAAACCATCCAAAGGCATCAAAAACCCTCTTGGTCCCAAATAACCCAGGACTAACCAGGTGCCCTTAAACCAGAACTTTTAAGTATTAATAACCATGAACTTAAGGAACAGCTCCTTCTTTGTTTGTGGTAGCAAGGTTAGAGCGAGGAAAAAATAGCAATAGATAGTCCTTGGGAGTCTGACTGTCTGCGTATCTTTGCTGTCCAGTCCAGCACTTTTCTGACTGAGAGTCTTTTGTTTTTCTGATCTTGCTTAGTGTTCTCCAGTGGGGTCAGCCCCGATTGTTCAGAGCACCACAGCTCCGGATAGTCTCACCCAGGTGCCGCCAAGCCCTCCATCGCTGAGTCGCTGGCTGTGTCGGGCCTGGAGTACCAGCAGGGGGAGGTCCACCAAGAGGCGCTTCGGTCTGCTCCACCAACACTATGTCGGGGGCCAGCACCACAAGCCGCGTCATACGGTGAGGCTGAAAGCCCAAAAGGGGAGGTGGAACCTACCCAGACAAAGAGGCCACACAGCAGCAAAGAACACCGCTGGGAGTAGCCAGACCCGACGAGCCAGTGCCAGGACGCGTGACAGGACAGCACGGAGAAACGGACAGCAGCCAGGACAGAGCAAAGGGAGGTACCCGTGGCGAAGTAGCGAGAATGGCACGGCCAAAATTAACTAATATACAATGCAAGAACCAGAAAGACAAACCGGAGGCCCGAGCATAAGAACGAAAGCACGAAGCTCCCACACCACCAAGCGGCTCATGAAACTCAAACAAAATAAACAAACAGACCAAACCAATAACAAACACGTAGAGATACAGCAAGCCGGGGACAACCATGCAGCGAACACAGACGCTCAAAACAAACGACACGCACAAGCATAAATGCGGCTCATAAAAACAACGGCTGCACGAGATCAGGGTACTAAGTAGACCACGACGTACGAGAGTGAGCGGGACAAAAGCGCAAAGACTAAAATAAAACCCACTGAAAAGACACCCAGCAGTCAACAGGCAACCAACCAGCGCTGAGACGCACACCGGGACACAGAGAAGCAAAACACCACAAGAAAGCAACGAAACGCAAGCCAAATAACTATGCAGAACCGACTCACAGCCACAAACGAACTACAAAGAAACCAAAACACAAACACCGAAACCGAAACGAAACAGACCCGACACGCAAAAAACGCGGATACCAAACCACAACAACACTCACCAACAAGCAACACCAGAATGAACAACACATCCCTGGATCTAACCCCCAGAACTGAAGAAACCACAACCAAAAAACAACAAACACCACCAAAACAACAACACAAAAGACCAACCAAAACGGCCCATACCACACCCCACAAGAAAAACACAAAAAAGAGCAACGAAGCACTACAAAACAAAAAAAACAATGCGAAACAAAAAAATAACGAAATAACAGGAACTACAAACAACAACAAAAGAAAAGCAACAAACAAAAAACCAACAGAAAAGAACTAAAAAAGAAATAAGAACAAACAAACAAACAAAATAAAAAAACAGGAACATAAAAAACACACAGGAACAAAAAAAAGAACTTCTTAGAACACAGGAATAAAAAAAACAGTGAATAAAACCAAGGAGTATAAAACTAAAAAAAAAATCAACAAATAAAAAGAAAGAACAAATAAACCCAAAGAAAAAAGTAAACACAATTACACAAAGGAACTTAGAGAAATGAAAAACCGAAGGACTAAACCAAGGAACTAATCCAGTCTAACATATATATATCTACATAAACCAGAGACACCAGAACTTTAGGACTAAACCCAGACAACCAGGACTTTAGATAAAAACCAGAACAAAAACCAAGAACAACCAGGATACAACAGGATTAATAAACCAGGACTAAACCAGAACTTAGTCTTAAACCCAAGGACTAAAACCAGGATAAAAAACAGGACTAAACCAGAACTTTAGGACTAAACCCAGGACAAAACCAGGACTAAATCAGGACTAAACCAGGACAAAAACCAGGACTAAACCAGGACTAAATCCGGTCTACATAAGGACTAAACCAGGACTAAATTATTCATCGTAGTAAAACAGCAGCAGTAAAAAGTTTAGAGAAGTAGTTTTTTTTTTTCAGAAAGTTTGAAGTGCCGCCATAAACACTTGAGAAAACTGAATAATTGGAGTTTTTTTTTTTTTTTTCTGGGGAAGTAAACGTCAGGATCGTGGCTTGAATCC